ATTCGTGTTTGGGCGGTGAAGATGCCAGGGCTGAGGGGGGGGATGTTGGTGTAGTTGTCTGGGATGGAGGTGGAGGCGGCGAGGGGGTGGAGGAGAGGGAGGAGGAAGAGGAGGAGGAGGGTTTGGGGGGTGAGGTGTGGCATTCTGGTGGTGTTGGTGTTGGGGGTTGGCGTTGGCGTTTGCGGATGGTGATGGGTAGGGTGAAAGGGTGTGAGGAATCGAGTTTGGGGGGGTGGAGAGGGAGTCGAGGATTTCATTTTCTTTATAGGCGGGTGATGTGATCCTGCGATCCTACTGTACTTTCTGGGGAAAAAGGAAAAGTGAACCCATGCTTGGTTTTTCTTGGCTTCTACCCGAGTTGGTCGGTAATTTAGGCTGTGGAGAGGCGCAGATGATGAGGCTGGTTGGCCACTGTTTTTGAGTGCTTTTGTTTCGTATGGATTTGTGAAGCTCGGTGTTTGTAGCCATGGAAAGCGCACAAGCGAACATCTAGTACGAATCGCAGCATATTGTGGATGTATGTATGTATGTATGTATGTCTATGTGTGTGTGTGTGTGTGTGTGCCTGTGCCTGTTTTGCTTTTAGCTGTGCTACTCTGAGAGGATCTAAGCAACGATTTATGGTCGAGTTTCCCATATAAGATCTATCAGACTAGGTGACGAGAGAAGTCAAGTCCATGATGGAAACACGCCTGACAGTGAGGCTGTGGAACGGACAAGTGTTATGCTTCTCACGATTGCTTGTTTCGCTGGAGTTGGAGAGCGGCGATTGTGAGACGTGTGACGGGGAGGTGTCGAGACTCGAAGTGATTCTTTGGGAGTGAGTGACTGCCAGGTGTTGATGGCAATTCGTGTGGTGGAGCGAGGCGGTCTGGTAGGTTAGCATGCATCCATGAGTGGAGGTCGAGAATGGCACGTGGCAGCGTAGTACGAGAGCGATCAATGGTGGCAAGGTTCCAGCGCGGGAATGACGCACGAATGGAAGGGGCAAAGGGTTGCACCTGCATGCTCTACTCCTACTATGCCGACGCTCCAACAGCCCCGCACTGACTGCGCAGATTCCAGTAGGAGTACTCGAGACCCCGCTTGAGTTGTGAGTGACACGGGCAGATGCGGTCTTGTATACACATACCATGTACCAGCACTACTACTCTACTCTAGGGACTCCAGCCCGTGCATGGCCCAACCCCTCGACATTCCTAATCTTACTGTATTCATCATCTATTCCCATCCACAACGTGTGCAAGACATAGTCTCTCCGGATTCACCTCCCCCTTTCCCCTGGGCTATGAACGGTTCCATCCGATAGCGGGCTAGACTGCGCCAGGCGCGCCTCCCAGCCCCGCGCAAGTGGGTGGTGTAGTGATAGATAGGATCAACAAGCCAAGCTTCCACCGTAAACAGCAGATAGGATACCGGTAAGGTACCGGTAGATGATACAATACCACGCCCGCCTCAGGCACACGGCGTTTTTACACCGACACTCTTCTGCATCTCCTAGAAGCTGTCTCGCTGTGCTCTTAGCACGAGGCATAATCGTTCACGCGCACACGTCACGAAGCGCATGACGCAGCCGCTTTGTCCACCTTGGGACTCAACTCACTCACTGCCCTTCCCGATTCCGACAGACACCCCGGCCTCTTCCGTCGGTATCCTCACAGGACTCTGCCTCCAACCCTACACACACACACTCTCTCTCTCACTCTCTAGTAGATGAGAGTGGAAGAACTGCCATCCTAGCACTCCTCACAAACAAAACCGCTTGCAGCCTCTTGAATGAGCCCATCGCCCGACCACGCCGCTGAGCAGACGCCGCCCGATTCCAACCTCACATACCTGCATAAACAGCAACGCAACCGTAACAAGGTGCAGGACACGCCTCAAGCACGCGGTCGGAAGAGCCTGCGACATGAGCTGGGAAGACGAGATAAGCAGGCGGCCAAGGTTACGCGCATCTACCCCAGAGAGATGTAGGCGCTCCCTCGACTGCACCTTCTTCCCTCTGCCACGCTTGCCTGCCCTCCTGTCCCAGCGCTGACTGCAGACTGTGACAGAACAAAGTCGTCGCCTTCTCCACGCAGACTGTCCTCTGCCTCGCCGCCGGGCCCCGCCAGCTATAATGCCACCACGTCGCCGCTGCTGTCGGCCCTGGGTGCCACACGAACCACCGAATGGACCAAGTCGGTGCCCTTCTTCCCCAACCAAGGCTCGCCAGGCACTGGCGGCATAGCCATCGCCAACTCTCCGCCGGTTTTGCACAACTCGCCTGGGGCACGAGACGGCGTGTACGCTGTTCCGTCCATGTCCAACTCGCCCCCTAATCGCCGGCCTCTGAGTCATCCCAACCAGCACACCACTTTCGGCGGCCGAATGCAAGGCTCACCACAAGACACGTTGGGGAGAGACCGCAGAGCATCCATGTACTCGCAGCATGGTGCTCGTATACCTTCACAGCCACATCCGCCACTGCCCCATCAGCCCCAAGCACATTTCTATAGCTTGCCGGGCCTGGACTTTGGACTGAACAATGCACCGAATGACGGCTTGACACCCGGCGAAGAGGGCTACTTCTGCGGCTTCGATACCTTGGTTGCAGCCGGCGACGAAGCGGCTCGAGCAGCCGAAAATGTCATACTGGTTGGGTCGCAGGGAGGCCTGGACATGTTTCGTGTGGAGAAGAGCAAGATGGACCTTGTAGGACGTCTGGAAGGGCTGCGCGGGGGTGTCATCGGCGCCAAGGTCATACCATGGACCTCCAGGGTGGATCCTATGGCGGCTTTGCGACCTCTAGTGGCACTCACGCTGCACGGACCCGTCGTCAAAGACAGCAGAAGCAGCAGTAGCAGTGGTGCATCCTCTGTCATTGATGACTCAGCCTCCGAATCCCCAAGCAGACCCGCTTCCCGTCATGGGGAGGAGCCAGTGGGCCAGGTGACAGGCTACCAGACGACAGTCGAAGTGTATTCGTTGAAGGAAGGGCGGAAAGTGGCTACGTTGTACAAGAGTCCTCTCATACCTTTGATCAGTCCCATAGATAGTCCCTTGTTTCAACCTCCAAAACCTGTAGGCGATTTTGTTGTGGATGCCAAAGGCAAGTTTGTGGTCGTTGCATCCGGTGCTAGTGGAGAAGTCTTCGTCTTTGCACCGTACTCCCAAGGCCATCCGGAGTACGCCGAACGGTACCGATGTCTGGGGAAGCTTTGGACGTCTATCCAACTTCGCGAACGTGCCACCCCATCGAATGCATCAAGATCAAGTGTGGCAGACGGAAATCACGAAGACATCCCTCCTGAGAGATATGGCGTCCCCATCTTCTCGCTCTCGGATCGCTGGCTAGCTACAACACCGCCTGCGTCGAGCTCGCTCTATCCACTGAACGGAACAGCACTCACTTCCCCGTACCACGAGCGCCCACCTGGACTGTCTCACCATAGCGTTCCCCCTCAGCCAACGCCAAACTGTGCTGTCGACGCTCCGGAAGGAGCCAGCCTTATTGATCGCCTCACCCGAGAAGGGACCCAGGTTGCCATCAAGGGTGCGCGATGGGCCACAGAAAAGGGCTATCAAGCGTTCAAGAGCTACATGAACAAGGGTCAACAGCCGAACAACAGCCAAATGTATGGCCAGGATCCCATGCAGCATTACTTTCCACCCACGCATGGACACAACCAAGTACAGCCGAGACAGGAAGCATCCGTGATTTCAGTTTTTGATCTCCAGAAATTGCTGGAAGCAGAAGAGACGAAGAACAAGAGTGCGCTGCATCCGATCGCCACGACACCTGCCACTTTAGGATGCAGCTTCTTGTCATTCTCGCCAAGCGGCTTGATGCTGATGACAGTAAGCAAAAAGGGCGACTATCAGGATGTGTGGGACTTGAAGCGAATGAGCTTCCGCAAGGCTCGAAAGACTGCAAGAGAACAGCCCAGTGGCCCTCATGTCCGACAGATTGCTCGTTTCACCCGGATGACGGTCACGAATGTCATTGATGTCAGCTGGTCTGCTCCCTTGTCAGACAAGCTAGCTCTTGTGACCGACAAAGGGACAGTACACATGTTCTCCATGCCGGCATCCGCCTTCCAATGGCCGCCTGCTCGCCGTATTCGACAAACACCTCCACCAGCCAAGACGGACGAAGCGATGCCGGCTGCAGGTCCTGTCGGCGCCGTCAACTCAGCCATGAAAGCAATTAATGGTACCGCAAGGCCATTTTTCGATGCGGTACGTCAGCGAAATACTGGGACAGGCTCTCGCTTCACTCTCAGCAGTCTTGGCGTGACACCTGCTGCGGGGGCAAAATCTGGCAAGGCTGTGGCTGCTGGGGTAGGCAAATCAATCAACAATATCCGGCACGCGGGTGACAACAAACTTACGCTCCCTACATCAGCCAGCGGAGTCAAGCCTTGCAGTGTTCGCTGGCTTTCTGGACGAGGTCGCGGCTCGATCGCATTAGTTTCCGGTGGGGTCTTGCAGATATGGCGAGTGCAGATGCGTTCTACAAACAGCAAGGGCAAGTATTCAACAACAGCCTCCATCAGTAAGAAGAAGGTTGTGGAGTTTGGGCTCGCCCCAATTCGGGACTCGTCCTTACCGCCAGCGATTGTAGAACAGTTGTTCCCACAACCAGCTGATCCAGAGCCTATGCAAGAGATATACGGTGAATGGCTTCTACGAATCCCAACATCTCGTAAGCCTGGGGCTGGTGATCTGGCCGTTGGCCCGGCTCCGGCACCCCTGAGCTTCTCGGAGCTCGAAACGAATCCACCATATCAGCCTTTTTACACTGATCGCCGCGTTACTCGCTTCGTTTACTCGAGACAGTCATCAGAGGAGCAAGGTAGCAGCAGCGAATATCAGTCGTCGCCTCCAAGTCTGGTCTCCCCACTCCACCACGAGAACGACAATACACCGTGGCTGTTTGGTGAAAGCATCGAAGCAGTGCGCATCTCCTCACCCATGACGCAAGCTTATGACTCTGGGGAGGATGACCTCGTGGCAGGCGTTGCGGCCCGCATCGAGAACAAGCTCGTCCTGCGGGACGGAGAAGAAGAGATCGAGCAGGTAGTCGTCACCACGAGACGTAGGCGCATCCGAAAGGAAGGAATCGAAGAAGGCGAGGAAGGCTTCTTCGAGGATGACTGCGAGGTGCTCGATTTCGCAGAGGACAGAGTATGAGGAGGTGACCGTGTGCGATTCCACTCGCTCGAAACATGCCGTGCTCGAGACGTTTACGTTTACCACATTTAGGCAACTGACACATTTGCAAAGACTGTCTCTAATCGCACTTTCTGGGTACTATGTAGGTAAGCACGGGAGGGGGATCTGGCGCTTGGACGGGCGTCCCGATTGTTTTTTTTTGGGGGTTTTTTGCATAAACATATACCATACTATATCACACCATCTCGTATCATACCATACGAAGCATTTACACGCATCAGACTAGACTGCGATGGTCGGCACACATGGATAGAAATTCAAGACTTTGTTATTATTTATCATAATCATCCCAATCTTTTAGATATTCCTATTCCAACCCCCAATTTCCTTTCAGGAGGAGATGAAGGCATTTCCGGATACAGGCAAATCGCATTTCCCCCTAAGTAAGCCTGGCGCGCACGTTCCCTAAAGGACCGGACCTACTAACCACCCCGCACACGGACGGGGGCCGACACATCCGGGAGTTGCTAATTGTCCTCGTTACAATAGACTAATTGTTCTCGCCCTTCCTATCTAGGTATAGCTAGAGAATCAGTGGCTTAGCAGTGAATATGATATATTATACTAAGTAAGGGGTAGCACGTTTTTATACATATAGTATATCTCTTACTCTGTACTGGACCCTAGGTATCTATGCTTACTTACACATTTTTTCACGTAAGATACATAGCGCCAAGTACTAATTTGCTAAGCGGTCAGGGTGCCCCAGTAAGGGCGAGGATGATTAGTCTATTATGGCGAGGACAATTAGCACTTCCCGACACATCCTAGCTTGGGCTGGGCTTTGTGTTGTGCCGAGGTAGAATCGTGAAACTTTGAGTCGTAACTGGTACCGGGAGTGTCGTGGAAACCAACTTCTTCTTCTTTCTATTCTCCTTGTTCTCTTTCTATTTACCGTGGCGGTGTGTGACATCAAGGGAAAAGCTATACAGCAGCGCGTTTTTATAATCTCTGGGTTGCACATTCTTTGGCCTGGTTTGTGTGCGCATATTTGGATCTTGGGTTTTGGGAGAGAGATATTGTCACTTGTCAGTCCGGGGAAAAGAAGAGATAAGGGACAGGAGAAGAGATCGGGAGTTACGCACGCGTTAGCGTGGGATTGTTTGACGGACACACATACGGATACACACACACTACCATGACGTCATCCTCCGACTACACAGACATCGACTTCTCCATCACCAACCACATCGGCGTCATCAAGTTCAACCGACCCAAGCAGCTCAATGCCTTTGGCGGCAGTCTGATTGCCGATGTGATTGCCGCGCTCAGGGTGCTCGACCGGCATCCGGATACCGTGTTTACGGTGTTGACGGGGGAGGGGCGGTTTTTCAGTGCCGGGGCGGATGTTACGGGTGTTGGGGCGAGGGCGGAGGTGGTAGGTTTGTTGGTTTTTTTATGGGCTGGGGAGGATGGGTTTGGTGTTGGTACTTGCTGACAATAGGATGCAGGCGTATAAGAATGATGCGGAGAAGAAATTAAGTCTTCTTGGGGGATTTGGTTACGGCAAGTTTCTTATACATGGAAATCCTCTCGCCTTTCAGCCCATCACTAACAACCCCCAGCAACCGAACTCCTCCGCTCAATGATCGACCACAAAAAAGTCCTCATCGTCGCCCTCAACGGCCCCGCCGTCGGCGGCGGCGCAGCCTGGTTCCCCGGCATCGCAGACATTGTCCTCGCGACCTCAACCGCCTGGCTCCAATGCCCCTTCTCCGCCCTCGGCCTCGTCCCCGAAAACGGATCCGCCCTCTCCTTTGCCCAATCCATGGGCATCCACCGCGCAAACGACTTCCTCATGTTTGGCCGCAAGCTCAGCGCGCAAGAGCTGCTGGACGCTGGCATGTACAATTATGTGTGGGAGGAGACGGGGGATGCGTTTCACGCCAAGGTCCTCGAGTTTCTGGGCGAGCAGTTGAAGGTGAATGATGGGAAGAGTATGATGGAGATGAAGAGGTTGCAGAATGCGCCGATGAGGGATGCGAGGATGATGGCGGTGGTTAACGCGGTGGATGCGCTTGTGGAGCGGTTCGTGGAGGGTGCGCCGACGAAGAGGTTTGCGGAGAAGGTGAGGGAGTTGGAGGAGAAGAGGAAGGCGAAGGCGAAGATTTGAGGGGTGAATGGTAGTATCAAAAGGGATTAAACACTTGCACTCAAGATTCCACCACCAATCCCAATCCACCAGGTCTTCTTTTCCAATAATAAACCCATCTTTGCACAAGCAGCCTCCATCCAGACGTGACCACACCACCAATCCCTTTAGAACCCACCCACGTCCATGCGCAAGCGCAACTCCCAACTTTTTCACACAATGACGTCCAATTCGCTACATACTCACCCCCCAATCCCATGCTCCTCGATGACGAAACACAATCTAGTACTGACAGCCTTATTCGCTATCCAGCATGAAAAATAACCATCCAGTAACCACTCGCCGGTCTATAATCTCCAAACACTCTTCACAAGGTCTCCTATTGAGCGTGTGGCGTGAGATTCGAATGTAAAACCAGGGCTTGCCACCCCCGAAGAAGAATAAAGTCTCTAGGTCCAGAGTAGTTGGAATTGCGGGGGTTGATATGGGGTTTGGTTTTGGTTTTGGTTTCGGGTTTTGGTTTCGGGTTAGGGGGGGGGGGGGGTATTGTGGTGGGATGTGGGATGGAATTTATTTCTGTCTCTTTTTTTTTTGGGAAAAAATAAATAAATAAATAAATAAATAAATAAATAAATAAATAAATAAATAAATAAATAAATAAATAAATAAATAAATAAATAAATAAATAAATAAATAAATAAATAAATAAATAAATAAATAAATAAATAAATAAATAAATAAATAAATAAATAAATAAATAAATAAATAAATAAATAAATAAATAAATAAATAAAATAACGGTAGACTGGTTCTTGGATATGGAGATGTGGAGATGTAGATTTAGACATGTAGATATGTAAACAATCCTTCTTTCAGCAAGTTTATACCGTGCCATACCGTGCCAACTCCTCCTCCAACCCCAACCCAACCCACGCAACTCCCCATATTATATCCCACAAATATATCAAAGTGACACAAGCACCAAGCACCAACTATTAATTGCTCAGAAGGGGTTGTTCCCTTGTTCATTGGGTTGGATACAAGCTGCGGTGTTGTATATGGAGGAATGGGTGTGATGGAGCGTGTTGGGGTTGGAAGGATAGAGGGGGGGAGTGTGTATTGTGGTTGTAATGGCAAGTTCTGGGTACATCTACATCTATACATGTTGTAAATCTACATAGTCATACACGCACACATACAAACAATTGCCAACCTTACAACACACCAACCCCTTCCTCCCCCCATCCCACAGCCCTCCCACCCTCACCCCTCAAAAACCGCATGATTCAACTGGACCCCAAAATCCCTCGCCACAACCCTCATCCGCGCCTCAATCTCCTCCTCCATCCCCCCACCAACCCCAACCCACTGCCTCACCTTGCTCCAAAAAAATAAAACATCGCTCAACGCCAACACACAGCGAAACCGGACATGCCGAAGCCAATTCGCCCACCGCTGCGCCGCATCGAGTCCCCGATCCTCGACAAGGGCGCGCGAGGCCCAAAGGCCCGTAATCTTGATGCGATTGACCGGGGAGCCGAGGAATTGGTTGTTACCCTGGACGATGCGCAGATTGCGGCCGATGAAGACGAGTTCGCGGGGGAATTTGGCGTCGTCGGCGAGAATGGACTTGATGGCGTCGCGGCCTTTGGCCTGGACTTCAAAGGCGCGGGCGGCTTGGTCGGAGCCGGGGATTGGTTTTTGGAGTTCGGCGAGGACGGTTTGGTCGCCACCTTGGTAGGGGCGCATGAGGGTTGCCGAGGCGAAGATGTCGGCGTGTTGGACGCCCCAGCTGCTGACGATGGCGTGGATGGTGGTGTTGTCGAAGGCGAGGAGGGATTTCCAGAAGAGGGCGTATTGGTGGCGGAAGGTGGGGTCCATGCGGATGTAGAGGCCATGGTCGATGAGGACGACTTCGGGTTGGCCGTTGGCCAGGCGGCGGATGAAGATGTTGCCTGGGTGGGGGTCGCAGTGGACGGAGCCCCAAAGGAACATTTGGGCGGAGAAGAGGTCGACGATGGTGTTCATGGTGGTCTTGAGGGAGACGCCGAGGCCACCTTTGCCATCGGGGCCGCGCCAGGAATTGCGGTCAGGTTTGAAGAAGTCGTGCTTGGTCGCATCGTCTGGTACATGTGTGTCGACTCTTGTGTTGTCTCGTGGAATGGGTGGGAGTTGCTTTCCTCCTGCACCGGGGCTTCCCGTTCGCCATCCACCCTGCCACTCGTTGGTGATGCCTTCTTTGTCCCATAAGCGTACGCCTTCAATCCACTCGGCCGTCATCACCCGCTTGCTCGAGAGCTCCCGGTAAACGGTGGGAATGTAGACTCTGCCATTGAGTCTGCGCTCGCCAGCTACCAGCCGCTTCATCTCCTCGGCATTATCCGCCTCATTCTCGAAATCAGTCTCCAACATCAGACGCTCGGACACGTAGGGCACCAGGGTGTAGAGTGGGATCTTGAACCACCAAGTATATGCCTTGGCGACGACCTTGAAAGCCCACAGATCCCATCCGACTTGGCTGGCAATCTCTCGCTTTTGAATCTTAATGGCCACCTCCCTGCCGTCTGCAAGCCTTGCCCAATGTACCTGAGCCACACTTGCGCTAGCCCTTGCCGTCTTCTCCATGATACCTCTTTCGCCCGTCCCATCCAACGTGAAGCCAACGCCAAACACATCCTCGACACTCTTGCCAAAGTCCTCGCGAATCACTTGCTCCACCTCCCACCACTCATTCTGCGGCGCATCATCAAACATGGTAGCAAACATCCTCTGAAACTCTGGCGGCAGAATCGCGCTCTGCATGGCAATCGCCTGGCCAATCTTGAGATATAGTCCGCCATTGTACCGCAACAACTCAAAGATCCGCTGCGCATTCCGCAGATGCAACGCCTCAATGCTCTCCGCCAACGGCGGATGGGGTCGAAAGTTGATTTTATAATCAAGCCCAATCACAAGCCCGGTCTTGAACGTGCGCAGACTGCGCGTCACCGACGAGGCGTAGAATTGGCGGTCGAGCAGGAAGCCGGCTCCCAGCAACGCTGCAACGACGGCGAGACGGCGCACCCATCTCCGCCGTGTAAAGGGCGGTTTGATCTTACGCGGCCGTGGTTTGGGCAGATCGGCTGGGTTGATGGGGCGAAGGGGTTCCCATTTTTGTGTCTGCAGGCTGCGAACTAGCAGCTGTGATTGGGGTAGGCGGCCATGTGCGAATGCGATCAAAGGTGAGGTTAGCAGTTGCCGGGCCGAGACATGGTGGACTGGCGCTCGTCGGAGAGCAGACAAGCCATGGACCATGGCTTTCTTTTGGGAGAGTGCAGAGGCAGCATCAATGGAGTTTGGTCAGACATGGGGGGCGGGGGACATGGAATCCTTTATCAGGCAGAAACATCTTGAGTGATGACGGCATTCGCGCGGGTTCAGCGCAATCAATCACCGAGTGGGGTCCGTGCACCAACACTATTCACTGGCCTATCCACCCTATTGCGACTCTAATCCAGCCAAGCATGCCTCAGAACATGCGCAAACAAATTTCCTAGACAACACTCCAGAGAGGAGCATTTGCTTAGCCTTAGCAAAACTCCAAACCTTCGCCCCAAGTCATTGTGCCTTTCATCTGGCTTTCCTTTCCACAGAACGACTATCTCATAATCTCTTTAGCCCTAGATCTTCATACCCAGCCTCTACCAACCTGAACCATTCTACATTCTAATGCGCGACTTTTAACATGGCTATACCGAGTCTAATCGTCTTCGAAATCCATGGTGGGTATTGAAGGTGTTTGACGTCCACTCATTGTCTTTTGCAATAGTCTCTCTCTCTCTCTCTCTCTCTTTGCTCTCCTCTCCTCTCCTCTTCCAAGACCATCGATCTGTACAGAGGTCACCGCGGCGTGTGACCTTATTGCGGCGTATCCATCGCGGAAATATAGCAGCGCAGTCTGTCCCAGGTAATCCAAAGCAACCCATCGCATTCAAACATGGAAACCCCCCCCTCACTCCTCCCCCTCTTCCTCCTGCGCCTTCTCCACCGCCCTCAAAT